CCTTAACTCTGGTTTTGGTAACCGAAACCTAATGGGCTGAGGCTGTGAACATCCATGTCAGTGTGGGGACATCCCTGAGGGTCCCAAGCTGTAGGAGCAGCCCTGAGGGACTGCAGCTCTAGGAGACCCACACGCACACACCCTGGAGGAACTGTGCCCATGGGGAAAGCAGCAGTGCAGGGGCACCCTGAGGGACTGCAGACAGGGGTGACCCTCTCCGTAGTGGGGACACTAAAAAAACCCTTTGAAGACAAGCTAGAATCAAAGAGAAGCAGAGAAAATCCTTGAGAAAAAAAAATGGTGGCAGAGAAAAATGAACAAGCAAAAAGCATCAGCAAAATACAGCTCCAAACACAGCCTCAGGAGAAATGATGATGCCACCTGAGAAATCAGAACAGGATAACATGGGCTGAAAGTCAGGGAAGCTGAGGCTGGGAAAGCAAATATAATAACTGATTTAGGGGAAGGAGGACAGAAGGTGTTTGCGTTCTTTTTTTTCTTGGTCAATATTTATAAGGCATCAGAAATTTGTGTTGTCTGTAATTAAAGTAAGTAAAAAATCCCAGCATTGAGTCTGTTTGGCCTGCAACTTCCCTCTCTATAGGAACTAGTGTGTTTGAGGCTTTCATCAAGGAGCTTTGGTAAATCAGCTGCCTCTCCTCAAAGAAGCAGGCACAGAGTGCTGCCAGACACACCTGCTGCCAGAGGCCACAGGCAGACACCATTTATTCCTGTTTGGAGGATGAGTGGAGCAGTGTGTTTTGCTGAAGTTTGTTCAGAGGCCGTGGAACTCTTCATGCAGTTTGCTTTTGCTTTATACAGAGTTCCTGCCATGTGTTCTCAAGGCACTGAAACAGAATCAGCCAATTCCCAGCATTTCCTCTGTGCACTGGGTACATTTGCTCTCCTTGTGTCTCTTAAACCACACCAGGCCAGGCTTGGACCAACTTGAACAAGATGAGGAGAAAATTCCCTGTGCCCAGGGTGGGAAGATCTGGGTAACAGGCTCTTTGCTACAGCTCTTCCTTAGTCAAGTCTGCCTGATGATTTCCAGGTTTTTTTGAGATGTACAGACTTTCATTTACATGCACAAACACACAGAAATTTCTCAGCAAAGTGGGATGTGTGCCCACGTATCTGCATTCCCATTTCGATGGGAGTAATTAGCAGCTCTAATTTTTATTTTTTTTCTGTTTAGAAAGATCAGGTTATAGTCTTCATTAATTCATTTTTTATTTAAGTTATTGACTGTGACAGACCACACACACTCTCTCCTCTTGTGGCCCAGCATCTCAGTCTCTCCCCACGCTACACAATGTGTCTGGCTCCACAGAATCATAAATATTGGAACAGTCCTTTAAGGTCATCAAGTCTAATGATTAATCCAGCACTGCCAAGCCCAGCATTAAACCATGTCCCCAGGTGCCACATCTACATGTCTTTTAAATACCTCCAGGGATGATGACTCAGCCACTTCCCTGAGCAGCCTCTTTGAAAGCCTGATCCTGTTTCAGTGAAGAAGTTGTTCCCAATAGCCAATCTAAACCTGGTCTGGTGCAATTTGAGGCTGCTTCCTCTTGTCTTATCACTTATTACTTGGGAGAAGAAACTGACTCCCACCTGTCTCCAACTTTCTTTCAGGTAGAGAGTGAGAAAATCTCCCCTCACCTCCATTTCTTTATCAAGCCTGACTGCAAGCACAGCTCCTGACTGCTCTGCAGCACAGAACTGAATCACTCTTTCAGCAAGGCCTCCTGATAATAAAATCTGTGCCAAGACGTTTGTGGGCGACAAGCACCAAGATGAGAGTAAGTCAGGGCAAATGTTTTTAAAATTTCACACATGTGTTTATTTTTATCTTTTCCCAGTATTTGTCCAGCTGTCTAATCTTCCTAAGAAATGCATAAATCAGGTTAACTCTTGCCCAGTGAAAAATTTCATGCCAAATTCTCCCAGGCAGAACTAGAGGTGGGGTTTTCAGTAGTGTCACCCCATCCTTTCCCCACACACCTGCCACCAAAGTAGCCCAAAAAAATAATGTCTCTAATTTTCACCTTAAACAATACACTGTGGTAAAAGAAATAAATTTCTTCAAAAATATAAAAATCATTTTTATTAAAGAAAATTTTCCTCCTTCAAGCCTGACTTTGAGTCATGGTGTTGCTTCGATGATGAGATTTATCCATGGTTTCAGTTATTACAGTCTGCAGCACAAGTCATTTTACCTTTGGTATGCTGCTCCCATGTCTTCTCAAGACCAAATTTTTCAGTGTGTTCTGGTATAGAAGCTTTGGATAAAAAACCCTCTATTTCTCTGCATGCAAATCTCAAAATTAAGGTATCCACCTACCACTGGTTTCTCAGAAATACACCCCCACATTTTCCCTTGCTCTTCTCCCACACTGTGCTACCTTACCAGACTCAGCAACTTGGCTTCCAGCCACAAATTACTCAGATATATAACTGGAAATAGAAATGTGAAGAAGCCCCACTCCAAACCTTACACCTTACAAATACGCACTGTGGCCTAAGACAAACTGTGACATCCCAGTAAGGTGTTAAAGAGCCGTGTCCTGGGCCAGTATGACACTGTCATGGAGCCAACAATAGGCCATGAGGGTCTTTAAGGGCCTCAACCAATGCAGCAGAATCCCACAATCACAGAATGTTCTGAGTTGGAAAGGAGCCACAAGGATCGAGTCCAACTTCCAGCGCTCCTTTGGATGCTTTTTAACGTATCTTTATATTTCATGACAATTTTGGCAAAGAGAAGGCTGTTTCTTGTCACCTCCTTCCTCTCTTCCTTCTCCACATCCACAAAACAGATCAATTTTTACCATGTCCAGAGGATCCAGTGCTCCAAGGCAGGACTCTCAAACCTCCACGGGCAGAACTGCAGAGAAGGAGACCTGAGTGCATGGAGAGAAAGGCCCCCTGCACCCAGGACTGCGTTTGCTCCATGAACCAGTGGTGTGTGTCACACCGGACAAGATCATCCCACCCAATGGTCTAGTGGATGCTTCCAGCCCCAGGTCTGATCATGTTTTCATTCCCTGTTGTGTCTGTTGTTCCTCCCCAGTCAGTCTGTTGGGATGCTGAGTGGGAACTAACATGATCAGGTAATTTTGTCCCTTGTCAGGGGTAGAACAGCTAGAATTTCAAGTCCAGCATCATTTAATATTGGAAGTTTGCAACATTTCCAATAACATTGCAAGAACAAGGTGCATACTGATCTCCTCTGCTGAAGAAAGCAAGAAAAAGTCAACTCAAAATCCCCCATGGTTAAGTGTAAAAAAAAAGAACCAAGATTATTTTACGTTCAGGATGGCAATGACCCCAAGCTGCACCTTGATGGGGTCAGATTTGGCCCTAAGGAACTTCTTAAGCAGGAGAATAATATAGTCCTGGAAGTATAAATTTCTGCCATACAGAGGGATAGTAGAGTCTGCACCTTAGAGACAAAACGTAAATCAGACTACCAATGGCTTGATCTGATGCTGGCAGTAGTCCTGACTTCAGCTTGAGGATGTCCTAGAGTCGGTCAGATTTGGCCCTAAGGAACTTCTTAAGCAGGAGAATAATATAGTCCTGGAAGTATAAATTTCTGCCATACAGAGGGATAGTAGAGCCTGCACCTTAGAGACAAAATGTAAATCAGACTACAATGGCTTGGTCTGATGCTGGCAGTAGTTCTGACTTCAGCTTGAGGATGTCCTAGAGTTCTTCAGAGGTCCCTTACAACCAGCATTCCAATGATTCTGTGAAAATGCAAACAGAACTGAGAGCTGCATACAACTGCTTTACTATTTGGATAAGACCATTCACTCCTGTCTCCCTGGAAGTTTATCTCTTGCCTACATTTTGCCATGCCACATCTAAATACTCAGGTTTTCTTTCCAAAAATTCTAAGCTGTAGTACCTACAAGCAATCTGTTCCTTGAAGGTTCTTTTCTGTTGGCCTGAAGTTCCTCTTTCTGTATAGAATTAGAATAAGGAGGAAGAAAAAGGGGATAAGATCTCCAATAAGATAAAAACTTAAACTTCATCAAATTCATCAGATGCTGAAAATGAATCTGAACTTTTCAAACATAAGTCTTGCATTGTTGCACACTGTTGCACACCTATATCATTAACCCAGAGCTCATAAATAACATTCAATAGATAAATTTCTGATTATATGCTAAGTTTAATGCTGGAAGGGACTATGTAAACATTTGTTTTTGCCTCTGGAACATCCAAAACTTTTTCACTTAACCATTTATACAAGAACTACAAGCTTGTGCTTAACAACATATATCACCCAGAAATACCTTATTCCTGAAGAAATCAACTTTCTAGTTCATATTAGATACAGAAGTGGGACGGCATCACACATTGTGCCAGTCATTAGGAGGTGAATAGAACTGTCACTTTCTGTGGAAAGCATAGGAAGATAGATTTGTGTTGTACCACTAACAGAAGGAGAAGTGCCAACGCCCAACCAAGCATGTTTCAGTATTACTCTGACCATGCTGATCTCCCCTGAAAAGATCCATGAAACATTTCACAGCTCTGCTCCCCTCAGTCTGATTTGCCATCCCCCAAATGCTGAGGGTGCTGAATTCACATAGAGACTGAAGTGTTGTAGGAAGAACGACACCACCATGCTGGATCTGTTCCTTGTTAGTCAGCAGTTTTCAGCATGGCCCGTTGTGAGCCTTCACTCCTGCACAGGGACTGGAAAGGTCAGTCATTTCTGAGCAGTGTTGACAGGACTGGATTGCAGCAAGGCATGCTGACTAGATTTGCACAGCTATTCTAAAGATTAAATGTGGTTTAGACAGCTGGCAGGCACTTCAAGCTGATGCTGTTCCCAGGGAACAGCACCAGCACAGTGCAGGCACCTTCCCCATGGTATGAGAGGGAAGATGGTCTTTCAGACCTGACAGCCCTTTCCACAGGGAAAAGATCATAGAGGCTGCTCATGAAGATTGATCCTGCTGTCCAGAAGCCATGGGTTTGTCTTCCCCTCATCCTGGCAAATACTTCTGGGACCCCACCAGAAATCTTACATAACAACCATTTGCTTCTCTTCCTGGATATCGATTCTCAGAAGAGAAGAGTGAGGGCTGGTAAAAACAGCTTTTCTTCACTTGATGCTGCTTTATTGCAATGTAGTGAAATGATCCACCTAAAGAGATACAAATGCTGCCTTTGGAAGGACATTGATCTGGTGGGGCAGTCCAGAAGAGGGCCAGCAAGATGATTAGAGGCATGGAGCACCTCTCCCACAATGAAAGGCTGTAAGAATTGGGTTCATTCAGACTGGAAAAGAGATGGCTTAGGGATGACCTAATTACAACCTTCCAGTACCCAAAGGGAGCCTACAAGAAAGATGGAGAGGAGTTTTTTAGAAGAGCATGTAGAAACAGGACAAGGGGGAATGGATTTAAAATTAAAACAGGTAGATTTAGATTAGATATTAGGAGAAGGTTTCTTTCCTGTCAGGGTGGTGAGGCCATGGCACAGGTTCCCAAGAGAAGCTGTGAATGCCCCATCCTGGGAAGAGTTCAAGGACAGGTTGGATGGAGCTTTGAGAAACCTGGTCTTGTGGAAGGTGTCCCTGCTCATGGCAGGGGAGTTGGAACTGGATGATCTTTATGGTGCCATCCAACCCAAACCATTCTATGATCCTATGATTTAATCTCCATATAAATGAGAGCAAAAAAGCAAAGGAGGATTAATTATTTGCTACAAGACTCAAAGTCCATGAGTTGGATGTCCATACCAACTTGGATGGACAAAGTGACTTTCAGCTTTCATCCATCCTGTGACATGGATAAAAAAAAGTCTTGTTAGACCTCTTTCACACTGATCTGAGAGGTTTCATGCCATGGTGTGGTAAATATGAAGTTCTCCTACAGCTCGGAAAACTTGGCTGTGATTGCTTACAAATAATGTGACTTATCTCACAAAATCCTCCCCTGCCCCCTAGAAATGTCACTGCACCAGAAAACACAGCTTGCTTCTAGGAGAACGACATGACTGAAGAACTAAGGCAGGCCAGAAATATCCTTGGGCTGGCAGACGAGGAGACAATGCCAAATGGGGACAGGACGATGATGGATGAGATGAACGGTTTCATCGTGACCTGGCACCATTCTCACATGCTTGTGCTTCACTAAAAGGCACTACAGAGGGGGTGTAACAAAAGCATAGGACTTTCCTGGTGATTTAATCTCACTATTGAATGAACAAGGGCATCTTTCAGGTGCTCAGGCTCTTAATTATTTGCAAAACTATTAGAAGAGCATTTTGACAATTGTGAGAAGTGGACTGGCTTCAAAGGAGAGTAAGGACAAGCAAGGAGTACCTCAGGAATACAAAAAAGGGACCACATAAACAAAAAAGGGGGAAAAGTGAAAGAAAGAATGTGGAACAACAGTTACAGATGATATAGGCAAAGTTTGAAAGTAAAAATAATACTTTATCATGTTTTAAACAGGGTACCATCGTTCATTGTGTGGACAAGGCAAGGTGGCTAAATAGGGATACACACAGAGGACTGAAAAGGAGATTGTCTGAGGGGAAAAGAAGTCAAAGATCCTGGTACACTTGAACCAGGGACTAAATTAATTATATCCCAAATGTTATAGATACACATGCAGGAAACTGGGTCTGGCAGCAAGTATGTCTGAACAATTCCATCAAGGAAGGATGGCTTCCTGAGTAGTGTCCAGAGTTTGGTTTTCTGAGCCTAGGAAACCAGAGGCTAAAAAGGTGTGTTAATTGCTTTCTATAAATACAGCAAGGAGGAAAGGGAAAGCAAACAGAGGAGAGGAAAGGATCCATTTAACCTAAAGCACAGTGTTGGCAGGAGAACAAATAGGTACATACTGTCCACAAATATACTTAGGCTGAAAATTAGAAGGCTTCTTGCCTCTAAAGTGATCAGAATCTCTTCCAAAAGCAAAGCATAACATTTCTTTGAACACAGACTTTCAGGGTGAATTCTTTCAGAAGCTTATAAAAGAGATTTCTGTGATAGCAGGGGAGGTGGCTAATAAGCTGAAAGGTCTCTTGTTTCTAAAAACAGCTGTCTAGATCTAGAATAGTTATAAGAAGGTGGTTTTAAAATGTTTATTTTGCATGCATAACTAAAAATCATTCAGCCTGCAATCATACAAAACCCCACTGGTGCCTCCATTGATTACAGTGCAGACAAGAGCTGTTTGTGAGCCTTCAACTCACCTGTTGCTACTTCAGCTCCCTGAGAGCAATGGGAATATGGGAGAAGGGCCCCCTTTAAAATACTGACAAACGTATTTCTTCCCCCAAATCATAAGAAACAAGATAGAAAAAAATGCAAATTTCATAAGCTCTACAGTGGAGTTACAAAGCTGTCTGGGAGTGCCACTGGCACCTCAGATTTCATGCAAAGAAGAATTTATTTTTTTTCAGTGAGGGTGGTAAATCACTGACATGGGTTGCCCAGAGAGGTAGTGGATGTCCCATCCCTGGGAATAGTCAAGGTCAGGTTGGATGGAGCTCTGAGCAACTTACTCTTTAAAGATCCCTTTCAACCCAAACCATTCTATTATTGTATGATTCTATGGCCTTGGTTCTCTCTAGACCTGTGTCTGTCCAGAGTTACTTTATCATATAAAGAAGAACCCAGCCAGGGAATAATGTGCTCTGACTCAAATGATTCAGAAGGCTGAAGAAATGCTTTATTAAGCTATACTATATTATACTAATACTATACTGTATTAAAGAGATACTAAAGAAAAACCCATGACTGTCTCAAATAGTCACAGCTCAGCTTTGACCCAATTGGTCAATCAGTCCAAACAACCATCAGCAGAATCCAATTAACAAATCCCTTTCAGTAAACAATCTCCATAACACATTCCCTATGTGCCAAACAACAGGAGCAGCAAAAAGAAATAAGAATTGTTTTCTCTTCTTCTCTGAGCTTTCTCACTGCCTTTCTCTAGGAGAAATCCTTGGGAAAGTTGTGCCTGCTGCTCTCTGTGAAGAGAGGTGTGGCCACATCACTCCAGTGCAGCTGTGATGTTCCAGGTTTATGCTGCACCTTATTCTGCAGCTCCCTCTGCATTCTCCCTCTGTGCAGAATTGGAGTGGAGCTGGGCAGTGCCTGCCAGCCAGGTGCCCCTGACTGCTCTCTGAGTATTGTTGCTCTCTAAATATTGTTGCTGTAAATATTCACAGAACAAAAGCAGGGAGGGACACATGACACATGCAAATCCTTGAAGCTACAAATTACTTTCAAACAAACAGTAGTGGTTAATTTGCCAGTGACAGAGAAGACAAAGCCCCACATTTTCCCTGTCTTTCCCATGGAGCTCAAACTCTTTCCCACAGCAGTAATTTTGGAGAGGAATATAGCTGAGCATTTGACATATGCACTATTTTGGGCTGTAAGAGTTGTTAATAACTTTTTGTGAAAACAGTCCATTAAGTTTGCTCCCCATTCCTTTCCAGCCATTTTCACTGCCTCATTTCCTGGGACTTGTTATCATAGGTCATTTCATGTGCCTCATTGTGTTGAGATTTTTAGTACATTGTTCAAGATGCAGCACTTTGGACTTGAAATAGATGCTGTACCATACTTCTCTGTTTTGCTTTGTTTGGTTGGGTTTTTTTAAACCCTGGCAGGTAACTAACAAGGGTCAAGCTGACCTGCATTTTCTCAGAGAATTCATGCTTAGATTTGTATAGGAAGAGACATGGTGTTTTGTGGTTTGGACATGCAGCCATGGACTGATATTCCATTCTTTATTAGAAATTCAGAAATACCTTTTATTTACACTCTGAATTCTAAAAAAATGCTGAAGCAGTGCCAGCATCAGGATCTACTGAGGGCAGCAGAAAGGAGGTCCAAAGGAGGCCATAAGGATGGTAAAGGGTCTAGAGGGGAAGCCATACAAGGAGTACCTGAGGTCACTTGGCTTGCTCAGCCTGGAGGAAACTGAGGGGAGACCTCATTGCTGTCTAGAGCTCCCTTACCAGGGGAAGCAGAGGGGCAGGCACTGACCTCTTCTCTCTGGTGACCAGTGACATGAGGCTGTGTCAGGGGAGGTTGGATATTATAAAAGGGTTTTTCACCCAGAGGGTGGTTGGGCACTGGAACAGGCTCCTCAGGGCTGTGGTCACAGCACCAGCCTGACAGAGCTCAAGAAACTCTTAGACAACACTCTCAGGAACATGGTGTGATTCTTAGGATTGCCCTGTGCAGAGCCAGGAGCTGGACTCAATGATCCTTGTGAGACACTTCCAGGTCAGGATATTCTAGGATCCCATGACTATTTCCAAGAAGAAAAATGTTTCAGAATGGAAATTATTCCTGATCAGTTGAGGATGTCCTGCATGCAGCCCTGACCTCAGTCCATGCTGCTTTCCATGTCTACACAAGGTGTACTGAACTCTCCAAGCCTAAAACTCTGCTGAAGCCCAGGAACAAAAAGCCCTGGATTTTCTGTGATTTCAGTCAATTCACCCTGTGATTGGTTCAGTTGGTCAGAGAAGGATGTAAGTAACACCAAGGCTGTGGTTTCAATCCCCATACAGGCCATTTACTTAAGGGTTGGACTTGATGATCCTTGTTGTGTCCCTTCTAGCTCAAAATATTCTTTGAATCTGTGAATAACCCACTCTCTGCCCCAGGTCTGAGTAGTTTTGAAATAAATGGAGGAGCTGGAGCAGGATGATCCTGGGGGCTGTGAAGGGGCCACTAACAGAGAGGAAGTTCAGCCAAGAGTTTCCAGTCCCAGACACTTCTCTATGGGAGCCCTTGGGGATGGGTGGATTGGACCCAACAAGTCTGTTTTGGACTTGTTCTGGTGTGGGTGAGGGTTGGGGATAGAGCAAGAACAGAGCCCCATGCTGGTGGGCTGTCAAGGGGCTTGCCAGGATCTGAAGTCAAATCACAGAGTCTCTTTTTTACTGCTTTTGAAGATGGATGCTACATCTGTCCTTTCCCAAACTGCAAAGGTTGTGTGTGCACTTCAGAAGCTCTATAAAATAAAGCTTAATAGTTTAGAAATTCATCTTGTTGGCCCTTAGGTACTCCAGAGTGTATTTCATCAAACCCTTCCTTATTTGAATCCAT